CGACAATATGTGTTTTTGCTGGCTGTAGCAGCGCTATAGCGCTGCACAGCAAAAACGCATAAAAACGAGCTTTCACAAAACGTACATCACATATAAGTGGAAACATGTGAAAGCTAAAAATTAAAAATTTCTTGACTCCGGAAACAGACAAATTAAAAAGTTCAAACTTGTTGTATTGCGATTCTAGCTATGTTTCTAACCACAGCTACCTACCAAGGGAACAAAACATTTTCGCATTTTAGACTGATAAATTTTGTTCTGTATTAATAAAAGAAAATTGCGAAGCAACATTGCCATTCATCAAACAGCAGTAGCTTTAGCTGAACGCAAAAATGCGTGTTCGCGTAATAATACTTTTACTCACCATTTCGCCGTATTTCGATCCCTTTTGGATACAAAACTTTTTTCTGATAATTTTCGCATCGTACGACTTGCGTTTTTTTCGGCTCATGCGGATTTTCGTCTTTTCCGTTTGTGAAATTAGCATTGTTTCAGCTTGTGCATTCCAAAGCAATTCGGAAAGTTTTCGCAGGAGTATCAGAGAAGTAAACATGTCAGCGTTTTTCAACTCTAATATGTTCGTGATATTACCGGTGCAACATTACGTGGAAGCAAATCTATGTTCCGAACTAGTAAATTATTTTTAGAGCAGCATTTTTACCACGATTACTGCAGCTGTTCAGTCGGTGTGGGATCCGATGTTGCTAGGATGCCTTTAGACAGTGAGTCCAGTTGTGCCAGGTTTTTCAGTCCTCCAAGCTCCGAGCAGTTTATTATTTCGCTTATTAGGGGACAGCTATTTGGCCCTTAGCACGCCAGACTCTCCAATGCTGATTTCCCACTGAAGCGATGAATGGTGGTGATATACTAGTCGCGAGGTATCACTGACGCTCCTCCATCGTTGCGCTTTCTGACGTATTCATTCACGCTGAGGAGTTTGAATGGATGGCGTTGCAAGCTCAAGGCTTCCCAGGCATGTTTATGAGTCAGTGGACCCAAGCATTCGTTTTCAGTGTTATGCGCGCTTGTGTTAAACGTCCATTTTATTTTCACATGATTTTCATCATTCATTACTTATTTTTTCGCGAAATTTTCTTTTTTTCTTTTCTTTAATGTTATTCTAAAAGTCATGCTTCATTTCCTCATTTGACTTTTACTATTTAAAGGCTTTAAAACATCATCAGTTTCGTGCAGACAAGGTAACTTGCCGTTTTTAGGTTGGCTTCACACGAATACCTGGATTAGGCGTTTTTTCGTATTTATCGCACCTAGCGCCTCCTCCACCCTTCCCTACTTTGGTCTGCTATCGACCACGAAACAAAGACGAAAACTGTTTGCAAAGCGAAAGCGGTAACCGATTGCGAACTAAGTTTTCTTTGCAGTCTATGGGTTTCCATCCAACGGTTACCGAATTTGTGGATGACCAATGGAAGCATCGGGTACATCGTGAACATCACAATCCAATTGTGCGTCGATTATTCAGGCAGGTGCAGTGAGGGCCATCCTGTCAGATTTTTTTCTCCTTTTTTACTGTATTTGACTGCTTTTTAAACTCATCCCTCATCTCTCTATTTTCAAACTCACCTCCCCTCTTCTTAACTAGTTACAGTTTTCGTTCTCCAAGGACTTCTGATATTTAGACATGCTGCTCTCCTCCAGTCGTTAAACTATACGCACTTCAAGGTTCCGACGAACAAGGTGGAATGCATAGCTGGCGAAAATGACGAGTGGACACATTGGATTATGCATTTTACGGAAACGGAGTTAACGTTGCCTCACCGCACGCAGGAACCCATATTCTTTATCATCGGACGTGAAGACGACGTGCGCCGTGCGCTACATATAGTTGCACATATGGCCAATGGTGATAATTTGTCGGATGGTCTGCATCTCGATCCGTTCCGGAAGAGGGATTACGCTATCGTGATTGAGCCTAATTTCAGAGGGAACGGAATTCACTATACGCTTTGTCTGCATGGGCATTTTGATGAAAGCGATTATCTCCCTCAGAAGAGCGGCAATAGTGTGAGCTTGCAGAAAAAGCGGATTTCGAATGGACATTAGTAATCACGGAAGATGTGGGAGCTGTATCAGTGAAGACTCAGTGAACCTCAGTTTTTACTGCGCTTGTCCTAAGAATTTT